TTTCTATACATTTACATATTCGATAGTTAAGATCCCACAAGATAAACAGTTGTTTCCGCTGAATAAATTATCCTAAACGAGCGTGTTTTGCAAGTGCAGACAGAAGGTAAAGCTGGCATGTCAATTTCTAAAAGTACATTTGTATAGGCAAATGAAATATTACTTAAAAGTAACGACAGTAAGTGACAACCTGTCACTTGTTCATGCAGAGCTTTTCGATCTTTAATTTAATTTTCCTCGTAGTTATGACCTTTCGATTTTATTTCTCTAGCTCAGATGTTTTTGCGCGAACCCTCATCAAAGGTTTGAGGTTTATAAGGAGAAGCAATCAAAGTGTGGTGTACCCAGAAAATTTGATAAAAAAAATCAGACCCTGTTCCACTGATTTTTATCCGCGTCCAATTTACACAACTAGGTTACCAATTTGTCCTTTAAAAATCAGAAATTTCAAATCACAAAATTGAACGAAGAGAATCGATTAGGCTTTCCTATTATGCACCACAGTTATGATAGATATTATCAAATACTAATGTGGTGTAGACAGAGCTTAATGCATGTTTACAAAACGAAATCTTTGCTTCAAAGGAGACTCAGATATTTTTAATCATAAATGAACCAAGGAGTAGGTTTTTTTATGGTTTTTCTTTTGTGTGTGTAGGTGTACGTGTGTTAATGGTACATTAGTGCCTGAATCAAGCGCCAGCACTGATCATGGATCTTTTGTTTCCCTAAATCTCAAATAAATTTCCTCTGTGTTTTACCACACAGAGTGATAGAGAAAGCTTTGAAACTTACCAGCTGACGTAAATTGTCGCATTGTAAGCCCTAATTGAATCACTGATAGAATGGAAACCACAAAAATCCACCTGCAACTAGACAAAACTTGACTATTAGTTTTTAATTAAATTGGCCATACATGTATGCATCTGGTGTCAAAATTTAACGGGCATTAGCCAAAGAGAGTGTTCTGGGCTGCATCCTAAGAACTCGTTTGTCGAAAACTGATGTTTTTATGCTTAGCATTCGCCAAACGCCACCGAACAAAGCTTGCATGCAATCACTTCTTTCCAAGTTTTCTAGTCCACAGAACATAGATAACAAAAAAAAGGTTTGAAGTCTTCATAAAATCATGAAATAATTACGACAGCACTGAGAAAATACAGAATCCGACTAGGGTTGTTCAACGATTCTCGATACTTTGATTGCGGTCTGTGATAAAGATCGCCAAGCTTTTAAACCTTTCAAGGTCAACAAATGTCATCTCTGAAAAGCCCTGTGTATCATACGTCAATATTTACTTCCACCTCATTCGCAAAAGAGAGAAAAGCTTTTTCTTTTGTAAGAAATGTTCGGTGAATAAATAATGAAAAATGTTGAAATATTAAATTCGAGAGAGCAACATCATGGGAACCTAAAGCAAGTTACATTGATTAGATCTGGCTGCTTTGTCTTTCCTAACCTACGAGATTATTACCATTGTTAGCCCTCTTACACTACTAAACGACTGCTCATTTCTCTATCTCATCAGAACACTGTTGAAGACTGAATAGCGAGGATATTTGTCAATGGAAACACAAGGCGGTGTAGCAACGCAAAACAGTTCAAACTGTTCCACCAGTGCTCCGTGTACCGGACATGAATTCGAAGAGGACATATCGACTGGTTTCAACGCCCAGAGCGACTCCTTCCCCATCGCCATTGCCATTCCAATCATTGCAGTGAACTGCTGGGTGATCTCTTTGGTATGTCTGAAGAGAAGTTTGCGAACGGTGACCAACTACATCCTGACAAGTCTGGCCTTGTCCGACCTATGCACGGGGGCCATTTCCATCCCTTTATTCCTTAGTTGCAACATTATCCAAGAGACTAAAATTTGCGTAGCAGCCGATATGTTCATGAGATTCACTTCAACCTCCACGGTCCTCCACATTCTAGCCATGACAACGGATAGGTACATCTGTATAGTTTATGCCTTGCGCTATATGAGTTGGGTGACCAAGAAACGCGTCCTTTATTTCATTGCAGTCATCTGGGCCATTTCCCTGTTCGTAATGCTCGTCCAACTCGAGTGGTACGATATGAACGAAGGCGTTATGGACGAATTCTCTCCAGAAAACACGAAAAAGATCATCATCGTCGACAGCATTTGTTTCTTCGCCTTCGTTGGTCTTCCAGTGGTTGTTATGGCGTACACGTATGGCCGCATCTTGTATGAAGTTCACAGACAGAGCAGGAACATCCAGAGGCACAACACACCTGGATGGCAGGAGACTAAACGAAGTACAAGGCAAGAATGGAAGGTGGCCTCCGTCTTCATGGTAATGCTTCTCGTATTTGTTGTCTGCTGGGGGCCGTTTTTTCTCCTTCGACTCGAGCTTGTATTAGGCAGCAATTTCTTTGAGGTCACTTTCAGCCCTTTTACCCAGATTCTAATGCTTTGGCTAAGGTTCGTCTCATCTTTGATCAATCCGTGTTTGTACATTCTTGGAAAGCCTGATTTTCGTAAGGCTTCGGGTCTTTCGAGGAAAAAGAGGAATCGTTTTAACGATTCAGAAACAACCCGTTTAACTCAATCAAAGGGTTCAACGTTTGTTTAATTTGAGACACAGCGGCGGATTATGACTTGAAACAGGATGATTTCCTGAAAGGGACAAAGTTCCAACCACAGCCTTCACTCGATAAAGGAGCTTTTTGAACAATGTGTATAAAGAAAGATTATCCGGGAAACAAACAGATCAAATTTTTCAAATCTGTAAATATTCCTTCACAGACCTATATTCATACCGACTAGCCTGGTTCTAAAACAGCAAATGAAGATAGAAAAAAAATGAACTGTTTAAAACAGGTGCAAATGAGCACCGAAAACGTTTGTCTGCAAAATCATCATCAATAACACTAGTTAATACAAAACATTTGATATCCAATAAATCTTGATCTCTCTACTAAACCTGGCCAGAGAGCAAAATCAGAAAATCCGAACAAATTGACATAAACATAAGGTGTATATCAAAGCTTAATAAAACGTCCTATTGGAATAGCAATTATTTGTTTTGTCAGTGGTTGTCAACCAGACTTTTTTTTCTTAATCACAAAAGATTGGGCAACGATTGCTTGACCCATGATGATCCAGGGGACAAGCGAACAGGCTTTTGGGTTATGAATCCCTATCAAAGAATATATACAAAGTCTAGAAACAAATAAAACTTGCTGCCGGCTTCAAATTATGCAAATTATCATTTGTATCGCGAGATAATATGCAAGCCAGAATCGCTGTGTAGAGTAGAAGTTTATGATGCCTAGAGAATCGTGAGCTGATGCGGCGCGTTTTTCCCTTCTCTTTCTTTTCGAAAGCGATGTGATGGTTTGTTAAGATGCATGTACCTCACAGAATAATAGGTTTGAAGGAAAGCCTCATTCCCTGATAAATTAGCTTAATTTTAATAATGTTTCCCCACTGTGCGCCATGAGATAGACCGGTGAATGTTTCAATAAGACTTTAGGTTCCCAATTGCAAAACCGTCTCCAAATGTTCTTAATTTCAGGCATGCTCGAATAGGATAGAACAGGTGATGCTCTGAAGTCGAAAATAATCCTCGGTTTCATTCAATGACCGGGAATTCAATGGTTTAAAATTAGCTTACTCTTCGAACGCAACATCTCAAAGGGTTTCAAAATTTAAGATCGGCGATTCATTTCGAGCATCATCGAAAATTAGTTTGAGAGCGTAAACTGAAGTTCAGCTTGTAATAGTCCAGAGATTTAGACTTTACAGATTCAGAATTCAAGCATTCTTTGCCAAGCTTCTCAAGTCGGCAGCTCGTAACTTTGTGCTCCTAAGGACTTTACATATGCACAAATCCTGAGGATGTGGCTAAGATGTAGGAGGAGCCATCCCACCCAAATTGTGGGCTTACATCAATAATCCACAGCAAAAGGGTGGAAGAAAGCTTGCTAATTTAACATGAGGATAAGATTTTGATGGCAAATATTAGCACAATCAAGGTTTCCTGAATTTAAGCCGAACCAGTTAAGTGATAATCCACTGAATCAATATTGCATGATGATATGAATTGGAATTTTTTGTCGGCTTTTGCCTGCAAAAGACTAAACATTTTAGGATATTTCGAAACGGACAAGACTTTGCTCTTTAGTTGTAATAACGTTGCCTGTGCATGTGCACGTTTTTTGTTGCTTTGATTGCTTCAAGTCGAAAGCTCACTCAAAGCCGCGTACACTGAATGTCGTTTTCTTTCATGATACCATCATAGCTGCCTCATATCTCATCAAAACATTATTTCACAGCACCTTAAGATTTTTTTTTTAAATTTTGCGGCTAGCCTTATTAATCCATCTGGTTCATTCAAGATAGTTTTTTTTTAACATCGATTGTTTTCTTTTATATATTTCTAAGCGAGACTCAAGTTTTAAACTAGTAAATCCAAAATAAGGTGGTAAAACGCTGTGGATCCTGCCACTAACCCCATCTATATTCCCAAGACAATTACCATTTCTTCCTTCCAGAAGCAAATGATGAATGAAGTATTTCCCTCGAGAGGGGGTTGGATAGCTGTCGTAGATACTACTCGTTTTTACTATTGCCAATAGATCCTATCGACAGAAATTTCAAACCGGGCCCGAGGATCAATTAATAGACGCACCAACTGCGTCATAGACTATTTGGAAGAAAATGGCATCGGTGGGACGTACGATCACTAGGAACATAGCGTAAGTATTAGTTTAAGATCAAAGGGAACCTGCGATACGTAGGAACAAGAGATCAGCGGGAACACGGGACCATTGGGAACACGGGACCAGTGGGAATACGGGTTCAGTGGGAACTTGAGGTCAATAGGAACATAGGATCAGTGCAGACATGGATCAGTAGGAACAGAGGATCTCCTATACTCTTACCCCGGGATGATAAGATGAGCTTCTGACGTCATAAAAACAACTCTTCCTTATCGTTCATCGTGCCTATTTTTACCCCGAACGAGTCAGTCTCAATTTTCCTCTAGGAGAATTGTTTTTTTCCTCAGATATCTTAGATACATATAACACTAAGAAGGTTAACTTACTAGTGTCGAGCAATATGTAACTTACTAGCGCTGAATATATAGAAGATAGGTTGAAGTCGCTTGAGAATTTAAGCATAGACATCATTTCTCAGTGATCTACGCAAGGTTACGGCTGCACGTAGGCTAAAACACTTATAACTTCTAGAATCACTGCTGATTATTTTTTTAAGTTATTGCAACCTAATCACCTTTATCATATCACTCATTGAGCGAAAAGTTTTAAAAGTCCCCATACCGTGAACTTCCAAAACGACAGGGATCATTAATCGTGGCAGTCTTTTAAGCCAATTAGAAGTTCCTAAGAAATCTGATTCCCATAAGCACGTCTTTATGTCGGCATAACGTCAGAATTTTACATCCTGTCGCTTAGCAACTGCTAATGTAAACCCCTGGCTCGGAAAACAACCAATAAAATTTGTACGCGTATTTCCAACACAAGAGGTTGTCTTGAAGCTAACCACAATATCAGGGTAATGACTGAGTACGACTGGATTCGCGGGCTACCACACCTCTCTCCACAACCTGCCAAGAGAGAGCGATGGGTAAAATAGTAAAAAAAAAAACCGACGATGTCTCTAGGTGCCTGTGAGAGGCTTATGGAGAGACGCACCCCCTGGAAGATCTTGCTTACGCAGATAAACCTAATGCATGAATTTTCTTAAACGAAAGACTTCCAAAAATCATCAGTGTGAGAGATGTTGAAGGTAAAACCTAAGATAACTAAAAGCTAAAAAGATCAGTAGATTAAGAATTTTCGATGAATGTACGCCTCGCTTAGCGAGGATAAATTCTCGTTATTTGCAACGTTGACACCTTTTAGGTTTAAGACTGAAATCTTCCCACTGCATTAAAAAGTTCCTGTGTGAATGCCATGAGCTCGGCTGTAGCCTGGAGGCCGGGTGGTATGGGTGGAGGGACGAACTGCTGAGGGGTCGCACTGACTCTCGGGACAGGGCGCACGCGCGGTAACGGACCATGTGAAGATGATGTTAATGGCGGAGGGCCCACAGTTGGTGGAGGGGCTCGGGGCGGGGCATGTCTTGGGTCTGAACCCAAGCCAGATTTTTTTAATGATGCGTCGTCGTTTGCTGTTCGTTCGTCTTCCGAAGTTGGCTCGTCTCCGGTCTCGGATCCCAAGTCGTCGAAAACGTCGTCGTCGGCATCAACCGAGTGATCCTCCGGTGAAGAGGGCGCAGTTTCCTCATGAGATGAAGACTGTGCAACGTTACCACGTGACGTGGGCGTGGCGTGATCGCCGCGCCTCGAGGTAGGAGCTCTGCCAGAATTCAAGGGAACCATTGTAGGAGACTGATATTCTAATGCGTTGCATACACCATCCGCAGAATAAACGTCCCGATGTGCTGACTTCAAGTGCTTCTTTAGCTTGTGAGGCCCAAGGAAACCTTTGTCGCACAGCTGACAAATGTGGCTATAATTGCCTGTGTGGATCCGCATATGGTCGTTCAAGTTATCTCGGCGCGCATAACCCTTATTGCACTGTTCACACTTAAAAGGTTTATCCTTAGAGTGTGTGAACAAGTGTCGCTTGAGCTTATCTTCACGGTAAAAGGTCTTCATACAACCAGTGTGACTGCGAAAGGGACAGGTGAAAGTTGGTCTTGTATCTGGGTAGTGAATTAAAGAATGCCTCTTCATTTTATCTTTACGGGCAAACGCTTTTCCACATTCAGGGCACTTGTGTTTCTTCTCCGTAGCATGCACCGTTCTTTTGTGCGAGCGAAGGTTCGCCGAAGAACAGAACGCCTTTGCGCATTCGTCACAGGCGAACGGCCTTTCAGTAGAGTGGGTCGTCTTGTGTTTCTTGAGCTGAATGGTGCTAGTGAAGACCTTCCCGCATTCATCACATGGATGCACATGACTCTCATTTAACCGATGCTGCTCGAAGCCGTTAGCAGTGAAGAAGCTTTTATTACAAAGCGAACACTTGAATTCCTTCTTATGCATTTTACAGTGCTCTTCCTTCTCCTTCAAAGCATTGAAAACCGCTGGACAGCGCTGACATCTGTAAATCTTGGAGGGGGGATTGAGGTATATTGGCACAAACACACTGGTCGCACCCTGTTTGCGCACCCCTGTACCCTGGGGACTGGTTGCAGATGTGGACGTGGAACAAGGATTCAGATGAACTAGTTGTGACTCTGGGATATGGACAGTCACTGGTTCATCTGAAGTCGAGGGTTTCTTGGTTCGAGGTTCCTTGCTCTTCTCTTGAGTGGATGAGGCTGTGGAAGTGGACGAGCATTTTCGTTTTCTGGTGGTCTTGGGGTGAGAGTTCTTCCTCTTGTGCCTTTTTGTCGGTTTTTCTACAACAAAAACACATCTGGGTGAGGAACCGTCATTATTTACCGCCAGGGAGGGGAGGGAGGTTAAGGGATTTTGGTTGTGTCACAATAAAATTTGCGTGATCCCCCTTTAGGCTCTGTAGTACTCTAATGTTCCTCTCTCAATGACAGTCATTAGTCCCCCCCCCCTCCCTTATACTCTGTTAGCGATGACTGATCCCCCCTGAAAACCATGTGACCCCCCAAAAAATTCTCTAACTCCTTCCTCCTGCAATAAAAAATAAGCAATCCCTGAAACATTACTGCCAAAGGAGAGGGTAACTTAGGACAGTACAGCCTATGAGTTCTTGTGGTTCAGTGATCTGGTACCGAAATTACAGCGTGAGGACAAGGCTAAGTGCAAAGTTGCCATCACTATTCAATATACAGTGTCAGAAAAACTCGAAACTGCAATCAAGATCCTCAAACAAACAAACAGACAAACAAAACAAACTAGGGGATTATTAACAAAGGGGGTAAGTTTCTAAGGAAATTGTGGTGCTGCAATGGTGGGAGAGTATAACAGGCTAATTAAATATTATCAACTGAGTTGATAACATAAATTGGCCACCACAATCAGTTTAAAAGCTTTAAACTCTTTACAGTAGCCAATTTTCATTATCAACTCAGTTGATAAAACTAAATTACCCTTGGGGATTATAAGTTGATCGAATACAAATTCTTAGAAAAAATTATAAGAAATGTGTGGCAGACAGTAAGGAGAATTTTCATGGAGATATTGGCCATGAAGGAGTTATATAAACTTGCAATAAGCACAAGACCTGCAAGATGCTTGTCTTTAAACTGCTCACATGCTAAACACTTTTCTGCATAGCACATGGCAGATGCAAAAAGGAAAGATGATGGGATGCAAGCGAAAGAGGGGTGGTCATGTCATTAACTGCTTAGCATCACTTTGCACCCTAATATCAAGATGCATAATTATTCCCCATACGATTGTCTACACATTTCCTAAGTTGGTGACAAAGAGAATTTGTTAAACAATCAAGGGGTTTTCAGGGGTGTGTTTGGTATCACTGGGCTCTCACTGACTTTTTGTGACAACCCTTTACTGCAATGGACTGTTTTTGTATCATTTGGTTTTATGACACAGTCGAAAAAGTTCTCCATCACAAACTTGGAATGAAGGATGACTTTTGGAAGATACCCAACCCATATAAAGAAGTTGTCAGTTGTTCCTTTCAAAATACAAAACAGTGTTTTCACTTTGTCTCACCAGTTTTTTCATGATCTGAAGTTTTGTGACCATCAGGTTTTTCTCCTGCAGATGATGATGCACCATCACTAGTCGCCACTGGGTCTAGAAACTGCACCTCCACTTTTTTTGCAGCACAATCATCCTCAATGCTCTCTACACACTCTTGAGCCTGCTGGGTGGTATCTGCCAATGCTACCTCTTCTCTGCTGTTGGTCTCCCCAGAGTGAGAATGGCTGCCTGCATCTATGGGAAGTTTGTTAACTACTTCTGTCAATGAGCTCTTGTTGACAATGTCACGACAAACTTTGTTTGCTTTGTGCTTGATGTACTCTGACAGATCATTAAAAGACAATTTACATCTTCCGCAAAAATGGACATCTTGATCATCATCTGCAAAAAGCAAAATGACCTTCATTGGCATATGTTTAGCCTACTAAATAAATAGACAGGATTAGTTATCTTAAAGGCAGAAAAGAGAAAAACCTGAAAAAATTGAGACTTTAACAGGATTTGAACCCATGCTTTCAAGAAATTATTTTGGCACATATTACTAAATAGGCAAAGAAGCCATACACTGGGAGTAAGGACAATTTTGGAGGGTTCTTCTTTCTACAGAGGAATCATATCACAACCTCTAACCTTTTACATCCTAACATCAGTATGCAAATTCTCCATACTATGCTCTATACATTTCCTAAGGTGCTGACAAGGAGAATTTGATTTAACAATCAAGATCTTCTTTAGTTGGTGATCATTTCCTTTGTTCTTGTAAACTAAATGTGTGATTTGGGGATGATATTTGTAAGGAGAAATTAGGTGCTAATCACTCTAAGCGGTTAAAGGGTTAAGGAAATAAACTGAAAAAAAAATATTCAAAACTTCTTCAAAGGGCAGCATTCATACACTACATACACTAATATCAACCAAGTACACTCTCTTCTAAGGTCTCATTTTGTGGTTTTGGTGCCCCCAAAATTCCTCCCCCTCAGATTTACCCTGGCTGAGCTAACTTTTCACTTACTTCTTTTAAAAATTCAACCAACCATTTATATGAAAATGGTGAACTCCTCTCAGAGGTGAGGCAGGTAGGGTAACCCTGTCAGGTGGGACAACATTTACTCATACAAACATCTAGGTTTCCCTGCCTGAGACAAGACTACTCAAATTGTTTCCAGAACCCGTGTGATTTAGGTCAGTTAAGACCATTTTGTCCAAATGTGACATGCTTAGCTGTCACAAGAGAGAGTAGGGAGGGGACAGCTGTTACAATGCTGTATACAGATACACATTCCAAAAATTCCAAAAAGTTGTCTCAAGGGGGAGGGGGGGGAGGTGTTTTGTCTTGGGTACCTGAGAGCATATACACCTGAAAATACACAGTAGATTTGGGTACCTGAGGGAATGCTAACTTCCAAAACAGTTGTAGTTCTAGAGGTAGGCTCATCACTCTGAAAACAAGTTGGAAAAAATGATTAGTCTTTGAAGTGTACATCCCTGCCCAATATTGTTGATCAAATCTAACAAATCAAACTTGAAATACAGTACACTAGAAGAGGAAAAATAACAGTTTCAAGGGTTTAAAAATTATTCGTAACTCTACGGCACTCAGAAATGATGAGCAAGTAATTCTCCCCACAATTTCAATACATTATGCAGTAATCAGGTGATGAGAATTGAGCTTGTCATTTAGAGGCTGATCAGCTGTGTTATTTTTATTTCCACATGACACCGTATTTTCTTGATCAAAATTTATTGGTATGTCTAAACATTAAAGGGAAGAATTGCATTTGCTGATCAGATCGCAAGAGTTACACGGTTAATTTAGTTCATATATGGTCTCCAGCCTCATGATACACGGTAAGAATTTTTCACCAGGGATTTTAAGTTTCCTTTCGATAGTAAGATTTTCGTTCTAGTTACAGCATCAAAGGTAATATTTAATCCCGGAGAAGCGAGCAATGGCGTAAAAAACCCCTCGTTTTCACTTTCCGGAAGAGAGCCCAAATGTTCGAGTGGTTGCATCGATTATCGTGACACACGATCTAAGATGTTCTTCGTCAATTCGAGAATTTCATTCCAAAAGAAAATCGCACCAAAACACTTGACTACCATGTATTATTTTGTGTTTGCTATTGCGCTTACAAGGAGAACCAAGAAGAACAGCAGGCTCTAGCGTGTACATTTATCTACTAAGGACGTGTTAAATAAGGTAATAATTAATTCAAAAATCAACCAAACATTACCTCAGTTGCTACGCTATCCGCCATATTGCGGAAAGGTTTCCCTCCGGATCGAAGAGAGTTTTCTGCAATTTTTCTTCACCTTGACTGGAATAAAAAGGTGAAATGACTTGGAAATGATCATATGCAGAATTTGGTAATCATACTTTAGATATGGCGAGCATTTAAAGCGAATCAAAGCAGGAAAAAGCGAAATTTTTCATCGACCATAGGAGGCGAAGGAAAGATTTCTCTACCACTCCCATCTCGCTTTGTGGCCCCTTCATCAATAAGGCGAGGTTACCCAATCTAGAACATGTGATCGAGGATCAAATTTAACGCGGGCTTGCGCGCTTTAAATTTTGTTGATAACAGAGCACGCTTCAGGATTTCGCACCTTCGGCCTAAAGAGGTTAGATGGTGGATTTTTTCTTTGTTCTGTGTACTTTTCAAGAATATTTTTTATTCGTTAGATGAGCTTAACTGAGCTCAACGTATAGTGGTTTTGGGTGGGCGACAATTAGAAGAGATAGACAACTCTTTCTGACAAAGGAGAGTTGAACATATTCCAACGTATTTAGTGATGTTTAGAAGCACGGTGAAAGAAACAAAGCATAGAATAACGTGTATTTTTCCAATAGAAAGGCAAATTTATTTTTACATTTGCCACTAATGATCCATCCTTTTTTAATAATTTTCTCGATATGTAATACTCTCTCGATGTGTAGTATTTAAATTGTGGTTATTTATTCTACACAATGTTAGTTGCGTTCACAAGTTGATTTTTATTTCATATTTTTATACTTGATTTATGATTTGATCTTTAGAAATCTTAGTCAAATGGCACTGGGTTGCAGATCAAAATGGCCAGGGTCTCATTGTTGTCATTGTTCTTATACACTCAAGGTGCATTTTGATTCTCTTCCCCCCTCCCCTCCCCAGAAGTATGAATGGGTATGAGGAAACTTATCAAAATTTGACAAAATCTGGGGGGGGGGAGGTCAAATGCAATTGCAATGCACTAGCACAGTAGCACCAACCCAGGGAGAGTAGCAATAGTCACCTCATGTCACAGAAACTGGGATAAGCTCAGCTGGTTGGCAAGTCTCTTGTGCAGACTTGGCTATACATACAATTAATTGAATTATACCTATTTTTCCACATTTTTTAGGAATGATCAGCAAGATGTAGGAACAACTGATTGTCTCTCTAACAAGTTTAGAGAATTCGACTCTTTACAACTTGTAAGATGCCCCTTAAAAAGAAACCTCTGGAAGATGCAAGGAAAAGATTGCAAGAAAAGCTGAACAATGTTGAAGAACAGTCTGAGTATATCTGTCAGTTTATCAGTGATCTTGTTTGCAAGGTAAAATACACATTTTCATTGTATTCTTCGGCATGTTCTGAAACAAAAAAAAGAGGAATCAACCTAGTTTGATGACTTGGAACCAAAAGATAGTTTGAGCCACAAGTAGTAAAGTTCTTTTCATAGAGACTCCTTAAAAGGAGAGTGAGAAAGGGTTTATACATGTATGTAACACATGATTAAGGCCAGAAAAACTTACTGAAAAACAAGCATGATTCATGAATTTTTGAACCAGTGTGAGGCTTGAGTTACCTCTTGAAATTAACCTGACCAGTAATTTTTTTTTTCTCTCATGTCATGAAAATCTCAAGATTTCCCTGAAAGATCAAACACAAGAAGAGAGACTTAGGCTTAGGGTTAAAAGGTTCCCTTTTAAATTTGTGACACATAAAATGGTGTTTAAAGTATTTGTGAGGCATGAGTTTCTCCAAAATTTATGGACAAAACAGGATCAGGACACCCCCCCTCCCCTTTTACAACCCTGAAAATGGTATCAGCCTCTTTCAGAACCAAATCGGAATGTATTACTTATTATGAGAGGTATTTTTATTGATGACATGCATGCTATTAAGAGAAATTAAATCCTTACTATTTCCAAAATTGTGCGCTTAGTTTAAAACCTGGAAATATCATTTTAATCTTGCATTCATGCCCAGGCCTCAGATCCAGCTAAAGAACTCCTTGAAGAGAAAGATCGCAAGAAGTTTTTTCAGAAGTATTCATCTGTGAGTCAGGAACTTGAGAAATGTCTGGATTGTTTGTTGTTAATAAGTGATTCAGTCACTGCTCTGGGAGAGGAAGACACTCTGGGTAATTTATTATTATTGTTTTAACTCCCAAGATCTGATTGTTAATTCTCCCCTCTAGCTGCTGCACATTTTCTTGTAAGCAAGTTACAAGAATTTGGTGTCAGATGGAGATAACCACTTTGACCTGATAAGTTTGAATATTCTCATGACCTGTTTCACTGGATAATGTTTAGTTATTATAAGGAGAAGTTACATGTTAATCACTTCTGGGAGTTAAAGGGTTAAAGAAAACTATGCCTTTGTGTGATGTTCCAGTTTACTTCAATCTTTGATTAACACATACTGAATAAAAAGTGAGTGCCTTGGAATGTAACTTGAAAATTTAATTGGCCTAAATATAGCTGAAAATGTTGTCGTTGTTGTTTTTTTTTTTTACTCTAATATCAGGTGCCAGTGAAGATTATACTAGTTCTGCTTCTGAACCAAGTGACCATGTTGAGCAGGGTGCTGTCTCATCAGGGAACAGAGACTGCCACAAGGAAGATGTTAAGTCGACTGATGATAAAAAGGTTAAAGGTAAGATAGCAGATTGGGTGGTGTGGGATGGAGAAGGGTGGAGACTGGGAAGAAGAACAGAGCTGAGGATTATAAGGAAGCCTGGGAATTATACACACATTGGCTGTTATAAATGGGAGTAAGATTCACTCAGATTTCCAAAGAATTTACTGGAAATACTGGTAAATGAATAGAGGAATGACTAATAAAACAATCAAGGTTAACTGTCTTCTCTTTTAGTGTACTTGTACTGTTTGCCGTGTTCTCCCCTATTTTAAGCATGACAGATAAAAAAAATTTTTAAACCAGTAAGGCAATCCTTTCACCTGTTGAATTTTCAAGAAATCCAAGCAATTTTAAACGGTAATAAGAGGTTATACAGGTGGTAAATGTTACAGGTTACTGCCTGAAAAGGAGAACACTGTGTTTGCCTTTTCCTTTATGGCCAGTTCCAGCCAAAAATGAATAATAAAGACAGTTGAAAAAAAAGACTTGGGAAAAATAAAGCAGAGAGTCTTTTCACACTACATTGCACTGACATGAAAAATGGGAGTAGTAAATCCAGATGCCATTAGTTGCCAAATAAATAGCTTCCCTTTTTACTTGTTTTTCCTTCTGAAGATAAAACTCACCCTTGTGAGAGGAAAGGAAGCAATGGCAAATCACAGATGGTGTCAAAATTTGGTGAGTGAGTGTGTCGCCAATATTCTTACCACACTGAAAGGTCTTCTGTGGTTCATTTACTGTACAGACCCACAGCAATGAAGAATCTATATGTTTTACATCGTAAAAAGCAAAATTTTGGTATTGACGTTAAAACTGGAGTAAATTAAATTAATTTTCAGAGCATGAATCCGGGATTAACAGTCAAGGTGTAAGTAGTGAACACACAGAACCTGTCAAGACACAGTCTCCATTTGTACCCCAGAGTGCTTCCACCACTTCGTCAACTGGTTATGAAACACCACAAGCATCTATACTAGAGCAGACCACCCAACCCAAGGCAGTCCCTGAACCACGAAGAAGTGTACCTGTACAACAACAGGACACCAAGGAATTCATCTCTGACCATCTCAATAAACAGTCACACAAGCTCTCCTCTGTTGACCAAGGTACAAGGAGAAATGCTGAAGGTCTTGATGTGAACTCAACATCAATCAAACCTGAACCTGGAAAACAATTTGTTGATAGAAAACAGGCTGGTAATGTTTTGGGGTCTGGGGCATCCAAGGATAGCCAAAGGAGAGGCTCTAATTCTTCATCTATAAGTTCCTTGTCTGATATCATCCAAGATATCAGGATTTCTCCACATGAAGCTAAATTAGCCACTGAGAACATACCCACTAAAGGTAAATAGGTTTCTGTTTTAAATTGCACATGTAGTTTTTCTTGTCATTTAATCTCTCTCAGATTTAGTAGACATACTAGCACATGTTGCTAGTTAACCCTTTAACTACCAGATCAAAGTTGTAAGTCTCCTTACTGTCAACCATACAATTCTTATAATATTAGTTCAGAGAATTTAGTATTGAATCAACAAATTATCCCCAAATTGATATTTTTCTTTATTCTCATCACTTATCTGGTTGATATTGTATTGATAATTATTGTGAGGAGAAATTCTGTCTTGGTCACTCATGGGAGTTACAGGGTTAAATAAATACAGATTTTAAACTTCGAGCTTTGAATCTTAGAAAAATATAGCTAAATGGTTTGAGGTAACCTGTCCAGAACAAACCTCCAGTCCTACAGCCTTACCAATAGTGAGCTGAATTAAGTTTAAACTACAGAAACAATTAGCCTCAGTCTGATGGACCAATTTTCCCAAGTGCAAACCATACCTTAAGTCTTTAGTCTGTATACAGTACACTTATTATTGCTACTTTAA